TAACAACAAACTACTTATGGCCAAGTAATATTCCATCGATATTACAACTTTTGATCCATTCATTTGTAATTAGATATTCTGACTATTTCTGTAGCTTGGCTATTGGAATAAGCAGCACAATGAATATGGGTGTGCAATATCCTTTCGAGTTAATATTTTTGTGTTTGGGGACCAAATGCAAGAAATAATATTACTAGGTTGTATGGGTTATATTCTTACAGCTCCTGAGAGGTCTTAACTTTGCCTTCCATATGGATTGAACCAGGTGACATTCCCACCAACAGTGAAAGAAGGTTCCTTGCTTATCACACCCCTCTTAACACTGACTGTTTCCAGAGTTTCCAGACTTTTTGATACGTGCCATTCTCACTAGTCTGCTGTTTAAGTTGTTTAAGTTGCTCAGATTAACAGTGGTATTTCACAGCACGCCTAGTTAACAAATGCAAAGGCTTTAGATTGATTTTTCCATATCAGCAATTATTTTAGTTCAAAATTCAAGAAACAGTCTATTTCATGGTTTGTAATCCTATTTGTATTTATAAAGTGTATAAGCAAATTATATTTAATTATATTTAGCTCTGTTCTTTACCTTTCTTGAACAAGTGTCTCAGGTTTTAAAAAAGTATTAAAAAGTTATTAAAATATCTCTGTTTATTATTAGCTTTAATGGACGTTCAGGGTTGCCTAGGTTTGCTTAACCCCCTTATCCCTTCTGAATAAGAAAGTGATTTTGTTCATCTATACTCTACTACCTCCTTTGAAATAAGTGAGGGGACCCTAAAGTCAGCTTTGTCTATGGGACCAATCACACCAATACTGTTTTGCTTTCCAGTGATTGATTTAGAAACATACAAAACACAGTTTAAAGCAGTGAGAGCTAAGGAGAATTCTCATGGGAATTTTCTGTGCAGTTTAATTGTTCTTAAGAAAGATACACTGAGAAAAGTTCCCTTCTTCCTCCCTGGCCACACTTGCCTTTTTGACGCAGAGTTCTTGGTCTTCCAGGAAATTGCTCAGAATGAACAGTGAAAAGTACGGTTTCTTTTTTTCTTTTTTTGGGGGGGGGGATAATTGCTGAGGAACTATTATTGGGACAGTACCTTCTCTGAGAGCCCGGCAAGCTACCGAGAGTATTCGATATGCCAAACACAGTAACAACAAAGTCTCCAATGGAGACGTTACTGGGCCCGCTCGAGCAAATCGACGATCAATGGGAGGGCCTTTACCTTTACCTTACCTTCTCTGAGAACTCACTTGGTATGACTCAGAGCTTTGGTTTTTGTAGTACCAAACATCTGAACTGCCCTGTGATGGTTCCTTCCCAACGATGTTTCCCATTATGTGGCAGAATCTTTTTTTTTCTAATATCTAATTTCTACAAGAATGCTGTTGGATGATTTTACTTCTGCAAGCTTCAAACATTTCCTTCCCATAAATTCAAACATCACTCAATGAAATGATGCTGAGTATGTGTGTTGTGAATAGCTTACACGAGTAATAGGATACTGACTTCAGATGTACTTGGGATGCTAGAAGTATTGGAATTATCTGGAAAGCCAGTTATCATTTGGGGAGTAAGGGGGTGATTGCACCCAGCTCTGGACTTACTCTTGATTCTGCACTCAAGGATTGCTCCTTACTTGTCTTAGGGGAATGATATGTGGTACTGGAGATTGAACCTGTGTTGGCTGCCTGCAAGGCAAGTACCTTACCCACTGTACTACCTAGCCCCGTGGGCCTGAAAGCAAGTAGCATCCTCCACCTATTCAAGAGTGCTGAACAAGCATTTTCAAATGTATTAATTTTCTATTTAGTTTATTATTTAGTGGACTATTGCTGATTAGATGTTTAATGTTGAATTTGGATCCGATATAAAGTATTGAATAGGAATATCAGTTAAATAATGAGTAGAAATAGCTACCTAGCAGTCTGGAGTTATTAGCTTTATTCCATATCCCTGTCATGAATTTCTATCATTGCCCTGACTTCCCCATGGGAACAGAGAAGCAGCAGAAACCCTGGGGTGGGGCATGTGGGGTGTAGTCCGCACCAGCTACTGGACTCCTGAGAGATTCCTACTGCCTTATATTCAGTTGCCTCAACTGTTCAGTTGGAGCTTGGGCGAGTTGATCTATGCAGACCCAGAGCTTTACTCTAATGACACAAAAAGTCCTGGCCCCAGGGATATGGCTCAGGGGTAGAATGCAGCTGAGAGTCGAGAGTCTGACCACCTGAGCCAGCCCACATCAGTGCCAAGTGCTGCCCATGTTCTGCAGCTGAGACTCGACTTTAGAAAACACCATGGCCAACTGGGTGCCCCTACAGCAGAGGGAAGGGAACATTCTTACGTTCATCCATGGGCAGGCTGTGAGTACTTTGGAAAGGACTGCTTGCATCTTCTAGATGATGATTTGCGACTCCGACTTGCTCCCTGATCATTCAGTAGTAGAAAGGATTCTGAAAAGAACAGGTGAGTGTAGTCGTGCCACAGCATCTCCCCTGATAAACAGTAGCTTAATAATAACAAGAATCTAAAGTTTATCGCCACGATGTAAGAAAGAATTCCTTTGTAGGAGGATGGAAGGGGTCAAAGATAGTAACATGGTGGGGGCTGTTAGTAAATTTGGGAAATTATGTTCCCTCCAAAAGGCTTTGTGAAATGTAAAACGTAAACAAAACAAGAACCAAAACAAACTGTTATTTGAAGGTAGGTAAGATTCTGAAACATTTAGTTGTTTACTGTTATTTCAAAACAAAACTGCAGTCTGTAAATGAATCCTAATGGCATGTGTGTGTATGTGTGTATGCGTGTCTATGCATTATGGATGTCTCTATGTGTGTCTGTGTGTTGTGAGTATTTCTGTCGGAATGGATGGAAGGCAAGCGGTTCGCAAAAACAAGAAGCTGTTTGTGTCTCTGTTATAGACACTTGGGTCAGAGCAATAATAGTACAGGGAGCAGAGTGCTTTCCTTGCAAGGGACCCAACTGGGTTTAATCCTGGCACCCAATATGGTGTTCTGAACCGTGAGTGCAGAGCCAGGAGTAATCCTTGAGTTTCGCTGGGTGTGGCCCAAAATATCAAAAAACAAAAAACCCAAAACCCAAACCCCACCCCCCCCAAAAAAAACCCCACAATGACCCACCTACTTTGCTAAGGCAATGGGGAAACATTTTTGCCCCAAGTTTTTACTGAACTGAAGTTTATAAACGAAAAGGTAACGTGTTTCGCACTTCAGAGCTCCTGATAGACTCTCGCTTACAGGTGAGGGGATTTAACGAGCTATTGAGCTTTAAATATCTCCAAGTCTAAGTATACTGAGCGTGCAAAAATAACTGGGGAGCATCACGCTGTGACCCGAAATGCAGAGGGAGCTGCTTATTCAAGCTGTTGGTTCGAGGCGTGGGTTGCTCTAACAGAGTCCAGTCCTCACTATATTGTATAATAATACCGAACCCAGACTCACCCCCTGGCTTCCTGCCTCTTGGTTCTGAAGTTCCCCTGGAGCCGCCCGAGGGATCTGATCTTTAACTCAGTGGGGGCAAGAGAGCAACTTGGAGACCTTTGATGCAGACACCTTTGATGCGGATCACACAAAAAGCCACCCAGTACTGAGATGCTCCCCAGGAGAGATTGCAAGATTGCAACCTCGCAGCGGCGAGAGTTACAAACACCACATCCACGCAACTATGTAACAATCCGCAGTCAGGCATCGCGGATCCGGGTCAGCCCCGGAGGGGTGGGGGTGGGGGGGTGCGACCTTCCAGGGGTGCCCTGCTGCAGGGAGCTGGCTCCGAGACGGATGGGGAGAGCGGTCCGCGCCACGCCCAGGGCGAGCGCTGCCCAGTGCGCACAGCAGAGCCGGCGTCCGCTTCTGGCCACCTGCTCCGGGCAGGGCTCTGCGGGGGTGGCATGTGTGTGGGACGCAGCGGGCAGAGGCGCAGCGGCGTCCACCCGCGGGGACGCAGGGAGAGGGTGTCTGCGACGAGGATCCCGCGAAAGGCACCAAGTGCTGGCGTTTGGACAAAGCAGGTGGGGAGTGGGGTGACCACTGCAGCCCGCCCCGCACCGCCCCGCGCTGTGACCTCTCGGGAACCGCATCTGGGACCCGGGCGCTTGGCCGCGCGGCCCCCCGGCTGTGCAGCCCCCCAGGCGCGGGGCGGAGAGCACGGGGCAGGGGGCCTCTCCGCGGGGTTGTTCCATCACAAAGCTGCCAGGGGGCGGCCAGCCCCGGACCCCGCAAACAAACAATGGGGCGGGGGGTGGGGGCGGGGGGCAGGAGCCCGAGAGCGCTCGGGCCTGGGCTGGCTGCTAAGGGGGGCGCCCTGACTGCGGCCCAGCTCCAGCAGCCCCGCCGCGGGCCCCGGCCCCTGCAGCAGCCCCGGGAGCTCGGAGCCCACCCGAGGCCGAGCTGGACTGCGCCCGCACTCCGCTCCGTGCGGCTGCGCGCGCTCCAGCGCCGGGATTCCGGACGCGCCGAGGAGCCTGGCCACGCCCCGAAGGCCGGACCCCGGGCCCGCCGCGGGGACCCCGCCCTCCCGCGGCCTCCGGGCGCCGCCGGGACCCCCGAGCCCGGCGGGGAGCCCCGCTCGGCGGCCCGGGCGTCCTCCTGGCCCCGCGGGCTCCGGCCGCATCCCCGGCCGCCCGGACCTGGGGCTCCGCGGGCGCCGCCGCTCCGTCCCCGCGGCTCCCGCGCCGCTGTCGCCGACTGCCGGTCTCGGGCCCGGCCGCGCCCCGGCCACGACGCTGAGCGGCCCCCGGAGCCCCGGGCCCGGCGCCGCTGGGCGCTCGCAGCTCGCTCGGACCCCGCCGCCCCGCGCCCTGCATGAGCCGGTGCCCGGCCCGGGCCTCGGAGCGCCGGAGCCCGGGGCCTCCGCGAGGGGCGGGGCCTCCGCGAGGGGCGGGGCCGGGACGGCTGGGCCACGCCCACCGGCCCGCCCCGCGCGCTGACGGACAGGCCGCGGAGCCAGTCCCGAGGCGGCGGCGAGGGTGGGCCCGGGGCCGGCCCCGCGCTTCCTCCGGCCGCCGCGAAGACCCGGAGCGGCGCCGCCCCCCGCGCCGCCTCCCCGGCGGGGCTGGGCGCCCGCCCCGGGCATGCTCAGTCGGCCGGGCCCCTTCCTCGGCCGGAGTCGGGAGCCCCGGCGCCGCTCGGGCCTGGAGCCGCCGCGGCGGGCGCGCCATGGAGCCCTTCGCGCACGGTGAGTGGGCGGCCGGGGGCCGGGCGGGAGGCCGCCTCCGCGCCCACCCGGGCCCGGGGGGTGGGGGGCGCCGGCAGTCGCGACCCCCGGCCGGGCGGCGAAGTTCGGGCGCCCGCGCGCCGCCGCCGAGGGGCGTGCGCAAAGTTGGGCGCCGCGCGCGCCCCGGCCGGGGGTCGCGCTGCCCGCAGCCGGGGGGCGATCGGCGGCGCCCCGGAGCCGCGGGGGACGTGCCCGGGGGTGCCCGCTGCAGCGTCTCCGCCGGCCGAGCCCGGGGACGCCCCCCCGGACGGCCGCCGCGCCGAGTGCGGGCTCGGGGGTCCCCTCGGCGCGCGCCCCGGCCTGAGCGCGACGTTCCCGGGGGACGCCGGGCCCCGGGGTGGCCCCCCGCCGCCCCGGCGAGGGCGACGTGCGCCCCGGCCCGCGGTCCCGAGGCGAGACGCGCACCCCGGGGTCCCCCCACGCGAGCCCCCCGCTGGCTCCCGCCCGCGTCCCCGACCCGCGTCTGGTGCGTCCTCGACTCACCGCGCGCTGCGCGCGTTCGGGCGTCCCGGGCGCAGGGACGGCGTGGCCTGGTCGCCGAGCAGATGGGGACACTCGGACACCGGAAAGGCCGTCTGGTGTAGAGTCGGGGCCAGAGGGGCAGTGCAGCGGGCAGGGCGCGCGCCTTGCACCCCCAGGGGTCGTGACCCGGAGCACCGAGCCAGGAGCCAGCCCAGTGCCCCCCACCCCGCCAGGTGTCCCGCGTCCCGCTCCCCGCGCACACTCCAGATGAATCATAAGGAAACTGTGCTTTGAGCGACCCGAGGCGGTTTCTGGGGTCTTCTTGGGCGCTCCTGTTTGCCAAGCTCTCAGCCAGGCCTGTCCCTGACCAGACACCGCTAGTTCGAGAGCCGGCAGCCACAGGATTCAGGCCACCCTAAGGTCCTGAGAAGGACCTTCCCACCGCTATGTGCCTTAATTGGGGAGGAGATGGGGAGGCGCCAGGCCAAGTTCAGAGAGAAGCGGGGATCTTCACTCTCCAGGTAGACTTGGTTCCATCCCTTTCCTCTCCCCAGGCCTAGTGGGTCTGCTCTGGAATATCTGATGCGCCAACCCTTTGCCAGGGTTCTATCCTGCTCAGACCCTTTGCTTCTCCCCTCCTAAGAGAATAGAAAGTAAAAGGTTGGAAAGGCAGCAGGAAGTCAGCCCCCACGGCTTCAGGTGCTTTTCTTCTGTTCAAGAATTGGCCTTCCGGCTCACAGCTTGAAGAGGGGCTGTGCAGTGATACCCAATGTCTTCACATCCAACCTGCTGCAGTGTAGAGTGTGAATCCTTACGGTGACTCCTTGGGCGTACAAGGATCCGTAGCCTATTTCTCCCATTGTATTCTGCCAGTGTGAGCCATCATCCGTGCACATTGATGATTGCAGGATCAGTCGAGTGTGGTATTGACTTTAGCGATGCATTCTCTCTTGGGCCTCACCCAGTGCTCAGGTCTTTAAGCTCTGTGCTCAGGGGTCACTCCTAGTGGCGCGTGGGGGAGGAGGGACCCTATAAGTTGCCCAGAATCTCACCAGGTTCACACGTACAGGGCCAATGTTTTACCCCTGGCCCCGTCTCTCAAGCTCCACATTCATCCTCTTTTAGTAAAATCTTTTTCACGCAAAGTTTCTTATATATCCATGTAGATGGAGAGAGGCGTGAGAGTTTAGTAAAAACAATTTTAGCAATCCAGGACACTAGGCTTTGCAATTGGAATTATTTTGTCAGTCGTGTCACTCTCTCTGACTTACCTATTAATTTGTAAGGGATGCTGGGATTTAGTTTTTGTTCTGTCAGATAGTTTCAATGCCCATGAAATTCACCAAGGCTTCCCTTCCTCTGCCTGTTTCCTGTCACAACTTGCTGATAGGGGTGGGGAGATAGCACAGGGATAAGGCATTCTCCTTGTGCAGGCAGACCCAGCTTCAGTGCCCAGCACCACATATGGTCCCCGAAGCCCAGCAGGAGTGATCCCTGATCATAGAGCCAGGAGTAAGCCCTGAGCACCTACGGGTGTGCCCCATAACCTGCAGAGCCCCCCTTCTCCCCCCAAAAAAGACAAAACCTAAAAAACTTGCTTCTGGTATGGCTCCTTTTCCTGTGCTCTGCTCTTTATCCTGTGGTGAGAGGTGCTTTGGCTGAAAACTCTATTTCAGTGTACCAGGTAACTATGTGCGTGAGCCGTTTCCGACACACAGACCCAGGACAGGCATCGCTGCAAGGATCCTGGTGCCAGGGTTTCCATTTGGCTCCACAGATATTTTTGGTCTTGCCCTTAGGAGTCTCTGCTGACTGCTCTTACTCTCCAGACCGGATGTCAGTGTGGTTCTGGGTCGTGGGGACTGTTTCCTGGCAAGAGATGTGTGGACCCAGCATGCATAATTGGCACTGTCATCTCCTGCGAGGCAGGTCGAGGGGAAACTGTTAGAAAATAGTGATTTGTGTGTTGCCAGAAGCCAAAAAAAGAAAACGAATAACACCTTCTCTTGAGGTCTTTGGCCAGGTGATGAATTAGGGTGAGTGATTATTTGATGGTTTGGCTTTATTTGTATTCCTCTGCATGCAGAAGTTGGGGTGTCTTCAGAATAACTTAAGGAATGTAAATACTAGGACTGACTCATCCTTAAAATCTGATTGGAGAGGCCTGAGTTGGGCCTAGGAATTTGCAACTTCAGATCGAGGCCTTTGTTAGTGTTTATCAGAAGGGAGCTTTGGAAAACTATATTAGGCAGATTCAGAATTAGGACGAGTGTTGGCAGACAAGGATATCTTTCCCGATGGAGGTGTACTGTCCTGTATTTCTTCCAGATATGCATATTTATACGCATGCATTCCGGCCCTTAGGGCTTCCTGTCCCTACTTTCTAGTTTGAGGTACTTGCTGGGGAGAGGGAGAGCATTGGCCCTGTGAAGTTCCAGAACTGAAAATGTCATTTAAAATCTGTCATGTTTTTCATCTGAACAGAGTCCCTGGGGATCACTTGCATTCTTACCCTTTGGTGCGTATTCGACCCAGAGAGCCTTTCCTGTTGTACAGAACTTTTTTTTTCCCCCCTCCCAGATTGGCATCTAGTTGAAAGTATTTCCCAACTTCCAAAGTGGGAAGTTTGGACAACAAAGTAGAGTTTCTTGGGTCGTTAAGGCAGCATTAAATTGTGACTTTTTAGCTTTTATCTTAAAAGTAGTAGTTTTCTTATAGATATGCTTTTTAAAAAAATAGCACCAGTCAAAAACATATTTTTTTAAAATTCTATGGCAAATTACATGCAGGTGGTAAAACCCTAAGAAGTGGAAGGTCATATTTTTTTCTATGATAAAACAGTCCTCCGCCCCTCTCGGAGAGCCCGGCAAGCTACCGAGAGTATTCGATATGCCAGACACAGTAACAACAAAGTCTCCAATGGAGACGTTACTGGGCCCGCTCGAGCAAATCGACGATCAACGGGAGGGCCTTTACCTTTACCTTTATCCCAATTTCTTGGATTTTTCTTTTCTTTTTTACTCAGAGAAATAGAAAAATATGCAATAGAAAAATATCTAGAAATCAGTTGAATTTTGAGGTGGAAAGTCATGGTGGCAGAGTTCTTTATGTTTATCTAAAACTCTCCAAAAACTGCCTTAAGACAAGATCAACAAATGGTGCATTTCAGAAACTACTAAGAACCAGTTGCTATCGTCTGTCTGCAGATGGTCTTTGAGAATTCAGCCCCCAAACTGTGACCAGAGAGACTAGCTGTAAAGAAATTACCATCTAGAGAAACGAAGTGCACTGTCAGTAATACAAATATTTTCTTTGGTTGGTTTTGGGCTACCACCATTGGCAGTTTCTGGGCTTTTCCCTGATTCTGTGCTCAGAGATCACTTCTGAAGGGCCTTGGGGACCACACGTGGTTCTGAGGGTCGAACCCAGGTTGGCGGTTGCAAAGCAAATGCCCTCCCCTCTGTACTATGTCTCTCATCTCAGACACAGTTTTGTGAATACCTACTTCCACTGACCACAAACCTGTTATCAGATAAACTAATCTCATGAAAAGAAGTAAAAAAATCTAGTTTTGTTTTCATGCTGATACAAAAAAATAAAAATGTGGAGGCTATTAAAAAAACAGCAAGAAAACTTCAAGAGAGGTGTTTATTCACCATTTTCATCTTGGGGCTGACCCGGCATCATTTGGGGACAGCTTCAGGCAATCATTGGTGCTGGGGGATGCCGTTGATCATACCGAGGGGGGCTCGAACTTGGACTCCAGTCCTCCAGCCTGTGTCCATTCCCCGAGGCAGCCAGCGTTGTTCTTAGATGCGCAGAATTGCTTCTGTGACCCGTCAGCAGGACTCTCCGGAACCTGTCCCAGGCATGACCACCCGTGTTACAGGGGAATAGTCTTCTCGGAGCAGCAGCGTGGTCAGCATTCCGAATGCCTCAAAATCGAGGGATGGAGACTTTCCTCTTTGGCCTGTCTGTGCAGTGACAGTAAGCCTGGCTGCTTCTCGGGAGAGCGTTTCTATGTTACTCAGGTCACACATGTTGTAATCCATGTGTGATTGTCTTGGGAGCACGTGCAGGGCTGTGAAAACAGAGCCTCTCCAGGGAGAGTTGAATCTGAAGCGAAGGTGTGATCAAGAGGAAAGAAACAGAAGGTAGGGTTAGACTGAGGCTGGCATCCTTTCAAATTGTGCCATTTCCTCAGTAGTGAGTCAGAAGTTTGGCCAGCAGAACCCTCTTGTTTGAGATGAAAAGAATCTGGGTTGGCAGGGGGTGTGAGGTGAGTCTGGCAGGACAGAGGGTGCTGCTGAGTTAAGGATCTCAGTAAGTTGGGACTGGCATGGGGATGGCCCGGAAGAAGATGGGCATTTGCTGTAGGTTCAATCACCAGATTGACTTCTTCCACAGTCAGGCAGTTCATTGGCACGTCAGTAGAAACCATTTACCCCTCTCCACTATTTTAGGTTGCCAGCAAGAAGATTCCAAGGGACGAAGGAGCT